TCTCCCTCCCTTCCCCTTCACTCTCTCTCCTTCCTTCCTTCCTTCCTTCCTTCCTTCCTTCCTTCCTTCCTTCCTTCCTTCCTTCCTTCCTTCCTTCCTTCCTTCAATCTCCTTCCTTCTCCATCTCCTTCCTTTCCCCTTCAATCTTCCTTCCTTCCCCTGCTCTGAAATTTTTATGTCTGTATTTAATATGATTTTTATTAATGTATACCATATTTGTATTAAGACTTTGGGGGGGGGGGGGTTAGTTGAAAAATTAATAAAAAGTTTTTATTGGAATCTTCCTTCCTTCCTTCCCCTTCCCTCCCTCCCAACATTTTTGAGCAAGGAAGAGTAAGCTTCTCCAGCGAGCATTGCTATATTGTTTTTGTGATTAATCACTATGCTTTAATTATGTTCAATTCGTAACAATGAAAATACATCCTGCATATCAGATATTTACATTACTATTCATAGCAGTAGCAAAATTACAGTTATGAAGTAGCAACGAAAATAATTTTATGGTTGGGGGTCACCACAACATGAGGAACTGTATTAAAGGGTTGCGGCATTAGGAAGGTTGAGAACCAATGGTGTAGAGGAAGATTTCTTAATTTAAGAAAACCCATATTGTTATTTTTTTAGTAATCTGTGTACTTAATTTAGTTTTTTGTATTTTATTTCATTACTGTGGGGTGTAATCTCCAGCTAGACTAGAGGGAGAGGTCAAGAGGGCCCCAGGTTTAGAGTTATTGCACTCTTCACTAGTGGTTCTGGATGCTTTCGCCTGAGCCACCCGGAGTCAATTAGAATCAGTTGGCATATAATATCAAACATCCAGATCTGCCTATCCCAGGTCCTTGGAAAGGACTCAATAAGTAGACAAAAATACCAAATCCAGTCTAAACATCTGATCCAGTCTGAACATCTGGCTGACTGTGAATAATAATAATAATAATAATAATAATAATAATAATAATAATAATAATAATAATAATAATCATCATCATCATCATCATCATCATCATCATCATCCCCCATTGAGGCACTACCTTGACGTGGTTGTGGGGCTTGTGTGCTCTGAGGAAGATAAGAGCTATGCCAGAGGCTCAACCATACTGGACAGGTCTCATCAGGGGAGTCAAAGAATGTCTCTCCCATAAAAAATATGGTGAGACATAAATTTCAGAAAGCCATACTGGCTCGGATGTCACCCAGGTTAACAAGGTTCATGCTAGATGTTGGAGTTCCTGGATATCTGGTGAAAAATGGCCTACAGGACTCAGGACTGTTGACTGAGCAACCAGGGCCAGCAGCTGCAGAACTACTGGAAGAAAAGGAGTTTACCCGTCGCAAATATACAGTGATTGACAACAAAGAAATAATGATCTGTTATTACAGATCAAGTCCAACAAGAAGAGGATATTTGAAACAAATGCACCAGTTCTGGAAAGAACAACATCCAGAATCAGAAATAACAGAACAGAGGCTAGCAGATCAATGTCAATTTATAATACAAAATAAATTATTCACAGAAGCAGAATTGGAAGAACTGGAAAGGTTTACCCAGGGCAAAGAATTCAAAGCCTTGCCAGAAGTAACTCAGAATGTAGAGGCAAACCAGGGGGAGTTGGCAGTAGAGGAATCCAGCACAGATATACAATTGTTTTCATTTGGAAAACAGGCACCCTCTCCTCTGCCTCAGGAAGAACAAAGCCCTCTAACTAAAGAAGTAAAATAATTGAAACAAAGAATAAATGAGCATCTAGAACAGCACAAAAACATCAGAATAAGGTTGCCTGCATTGAAGCTTGTTCCAAAGAAACAGCTAGCACAAGGATTAAAAGATGCAAATACTGAGGCTTCCGGTTTGCGATCGCGGCGCTGGCAGATGTGCGGGGCGAATGCTCTCTCCGCCGTCCGGTTTTCTCCCGCCGGGGGACCCTGAAGAGGGCTGTGACGAGCGTGAAGACGACCCCCGAGTGATTGCGGAAGGGCAGCAGCCCTCCCGTTTGATCCGGGGCAGCTCTTCGAACTGATGGGGAAAAGATCGGCCATCAACATGGCCCATCATTAAGCTGCTGACAGCCGAGGCCAAATCCACTAACAAGCACCTTGAAAGCAACGTGGAGGAATTGGGTGAGATTTTATCTTCTCTGTACCCCAAGTATTTTTCCTGTTAAAAGCTTCCTGAAAACTTTTCCCCCAGCAAGGAGAGAGGGAAGGGAATTTTTTCCTCCCACCCTCTAAAATGGCAGCGTCTGACTACTTGGGGAAACAAAGCACTGAAAAGTACAATTTAATATAATTGGACTTACCTCCTTTTGGAATTTGGGGACCCAAAAAATTCCTACTCTCACAGGGACTTGCTATTTTATTTACTTGTAAAAAAGAAGAAAAAGAACTTAAATTGGATAAAAACCTAGCCCGGGAACTGAAAAAGACTTTAAATGCTATCGGGGACATCTTGTGGTGAAGCTTGGTACAGCAATCTATTACTTTTGACAAAGAGACTTGCTCATAGCCCAGATCTGACCTTGGTATTATCTAAGAGAGATTAAAAGCTGAGAGAGCAGCTGGGCAGTGAAAGTGACTTTTAGGAATTGTGGAGGTAAACACTTACTGACTCTTGTTTAATAAATAGTCTTCACTAAAAGACCATCTATAACCATGTCAGAAATGGAGGAGGAGCAGCAAACAACTTCGGCTATGTTTAAACTTATACTTGAAAAAATTCTTGAAGCCACCGAGATAATCAAATCTAGACTGAAAGACAAAGGTGTCAGCTTAAATCTACAAAGCAAAACCCTGATTGCAACTAAAGAACCTACAATCCAAAAAACAACAGAAGCGGAAGAAATTAATGATAAGACAGAGGGCCCTAAAGATCAACAAGTACAGTTCACTGAAAATCCTGACAATGAAACAGCAACTTTAAAAATGGAAATGACTTTCTACGCAAATCAGAAGAAACCTGAGAAAGAAGAAGACCAGATCGAATGGAAGACAACTATACCAGAGCAAATATGGGGATCTGTGCCATCAGGGCGACAACTTAATGATTATAGATGGGCCAGTTCTTCCAGAAAATTGGCAACTAAATGGTCTCCTTCAATTCAAGTAACATACACAAGAATGAAGGGAGATCTATTCAATGATTTAAAAACATTGGTATGGAAGCCTGGTTGGCATAAGAAAAAAGCTAGAATTAGGTTGAAAAACTGGGGTCTTTGATATATTAGAGAGTATCCTAAATTGCCAACTAGTGGGCTAAAGGGAGACTTTGAGACAAGGGGAAATTTGATTATTAGACTTAAAATAATTGGAAAATAGTATGAAATTAACTATTAGGAAATAGGTTTGAACTATTGATTAACCCAGATAATATATAGTCAGGTCCAGAGGTATTGGGACATTGATACGGTTCGAGCATCTTTGGCTCTGTGCACCACCGCAGTGGAATTGGAATGGGGCGGGCGCGGTGTGCTTTGGCTGCAGACTGTCAGCTTTGATTTGGGGGTGTGTGCATCCGGCTCGGGTGGACGGTGTGGGACTTTGCATGTGTGCCTCCCACTTGTTGGGGGACCAAAGGTAATGGGACAATTGGCTTCTCAGCTGTTCCATGGCCAGGTGTGTGATATTCCCTCATTACCCCAATTACAATGTGCAGATAAAAGGCCCAGAGTTCATTTCAAGT